ACCAGTTTGGATAAACGAAAAATAAAAAAAAGGTCATACTGCCGACGGGCGTGCCACTGTTGTAGGTGGGAAGCTGGGAAAGCGGGTTATCGATTAGTTAAATTTTTATCTGTACGCGACTACGAATCATCAGTAAGGAAAAACGACCATGAGCGAAATCCGGTTAAATCACCACGAGTTTTGAAAGACCGTGATTTCTACGAGTTTCATTGAAATTTAAACGGAAAACGGGTATGTGAAGAAAAACTGCTACATTATGCTCAGATTATTCTTTTTTTTTTTTTACCTACGAATTATGACGAATCCACCGTGTTAAAACGTTTGCTCGGCCGAAAAAATTGTTTACGCATAATACCGCGGTACTTAAAAACTTCAAAAATGTTTAATTCCCACATAAATAGCTCAAAAACTGTCAAAATCGTTTAAAAATAGTACCACGCCATTAGTGACGGGTCTCCAATGTTCATTTTTAACCGGGTAACAACAAAAATAAAAAATCGAAAATATCAGAAATCGTTATCGCGAAGATTTTCCGACTATTAAATGACCACTTTTCGCGCGCGCGCTCGACAAGATTTCGCGTCGGAGACGACGGCGCACCTGACGGTCGGAGCAATCCAATATTTCGGAGGCGATGCCATAGGTGTTTTTTCGTATTATAAACTATCGTGGTTACAGTTGTTTAGAGAAAAAAAATAAGTGTTTTGTCTTTTTGTACCGGACCGTATATTTCGAATAGCCCGAAAACCGTACGGCACCCCGTCCGAAATACCGTTCTCTATGAGTCTCGCAACAACGACTTTTACTCTGAAATCGAAATTGAGTCGGTCTTGCTTGTTCCGCGTAAGCACCGCGTTCACTCGGTACCCGGCAGTCGTGCCGGGGACAGTGTGGACGCGGGTATAACGTCCTCGTGAATCTACGGTACGCTCGCCGTGTTAGGTGTAGACGGATCACGTCCGTTTACTGTCCGTCCGCGATGGCGCGGCTCGTTATTGTCGGCATTGTACGCGCGCACGTGAATGTACCGCGGGGTCTCGTTATCCGCCGAAGCACAATGGATACTTAGTCGACCACGACGCGCGTTAACGGAATCGCGAACGTACACCGGCCGCGCAAACGTTGGTCCGGACTATTGCCGTTTGCGGCGGTGAAAATGAATTTCCCGACGAGAAGACGGAATAATCGAATCGTTTGGCAGCGTGAATTACGGAAAACCGTTGACGGGACGCGACGCGATACGACGGATACAACGTCGTTTTGTATTTCAATCTATTGTGTTCGCATCACGTCGTTTGGTCGTATTATCGTCCGGCGTAATTTTTCACGCGAGTGTGCATTCGCGAGTGCAAAATCCACATAACGATAACAATAATGTGTAATCATAGCGACATTAAAGTTTTTTAAATCGTATTCCGTCTGTTTAGAAGACGTTACCTACAGGCGCGATTTTATTAAGGTGTCGCTCTAATGTATGCGTTCGACTTATTGTCAGACAAATCGCGGGCGAAGTAAAATACAAAGAACATATAGTACATAACGATTGCCTATCGCGTAGTATTGCGCGCGTGGTACGTATGGTATACGACGTACGACTGTGTTTTTAAGACGTTTAAACAATAACGTTCACCTAACCGTGAAAATTAAAAAAAAAAACAATAAAAATAATAATTGTCACCGTGTATTACAGCGTGGCGGTGTTAATGAAAACGCATAAAACGCAAATACTCTAATAAGATCGATAATTATATCGTCTACGATTCATTAAACATACCTATCTTTTACTGCCTATATAATTATAATAACAATCGTTTTTATTCGCTAGTAGTTTGAAATGTTACATAGTAGAATAGACTCGTAACGAAATCACTGGCTTTGCTCGATACCGAGGTAAAACCTCTTATCGCAGAACAAGGATACTTATCAAGATCTTAAATAATTGTAAAAAAAAAAAACAAAAGAAAAAACACAATTGATTAAGGAATACGATAACAATAAACTGAAAAAAAAAAAAATTAAAAATAATAAACTGTTTTGGAGTATAAAGGGTACACAATGAGAATACGAATAGTATAGAATAATCTATTCTACTTGGTAGTTGGTTATTATCAATAACCAATAAATAGAATTTTTGAAATAAGAAATATGTTTACAAACTGTCACGGAACCAAACTTTTTTAGTTTGTATTTAAAATTCGGAAAATTACGGCACTTTCTTACTATACTCATATATCTTTCGTGTTAACAATCCTTAGGTTGGTGTTGCAGCGACGTGCCTGGGAAATGGGAGGAGAATACGCTAATAGTAATAATATCCGATTTTTATTCAACAAATCAAGGTTTTCCTTTTAACTCGGCTGAGATATATTTTATACGCATAACGAGATTATGTTACCATAACAAAATAAACCACGCAGTTATCTATACATGTAAACGAATCCGCAGATAACCGTGATAGATACCCGTACACTTGTTGTGTTTGTAAACCGTTGGACAGGGGGGGGGATATAAACTCTTGAACCCTGCGCACGTAACCGATCGTAAAACCGTATACGTAATTATATAGTATACGTTTTAATACCTTGTTGTTCGCAATATTTCCGTGAAAATTTAAACGATCCTACAATATAATATTCGTATAAATACTTGTATAATTTAGTTTAAAAAAAAAAAAATTAATAGGTAATGTTTTTAATCGGTATTTAGGTATAATTATCGACGTTTATTACTATAATATTTTATTATGAACATTTAATCAAAAACTAATAACGCGCCAAATGTATATACTTACGTACGTTCGGTTTAAACAATGAATATGTTAAATTTGCCTGCACTCTGTACAGGTACAAATACTTAACATAACCTATACACAAAGAAACAAAAGTCTTTAAAACACGCCTTTTATGTGGATAATTTATGTGGCCGTTCAATCACTATACTCGTACTGTACACACCGATATTTTTGAAACATTATTCCATCAAGTAAATTTGCAGTCTGTACACAAAATATCTATGAATTGCAAACAAAATTATGAAAACTAATGGTTACCTAGTTAATAATTATTTTAAAAAACCTTGACGTCGAAATAATTTTTTTAGTTATAATAACGAAAGAAAAAAAAAACCAACTCACCGCGGATAATCTGCCAAATGATACAACAGATAAAATTAAAATTCGAGTAAAGAATACTATATTTTTTAGATTCTTAGTTTTACTAAGATACGTTTTTTTCCACGGAAAACGTCTTTTCGATTTGTATAAATGCTACAAATTGTTCGCTCCGTACATTTCTACGCATTTTCTAGACGACAACAGCAAACGAGGATACACCGGTTTTATTTCCGTTGATTTCTGCAGCTTACGTACTATGGTTACACAAAAGACACCCGAATCGATTACCGGTTTACCGCTCAGAATCGTTTTACGATTGCAATGCTTTAACGTGGCTTTCGGCGTTATGCACAAACTAAACACTATACCCTATATATATACGTATACCTTTACATTCGCCAAACATCACACACACACACACACACACACACACGCGATGTTTTCAACATGTACATTTTCTTCGAGGTTTAGAGAGTTATAGGAAGTACCGTCAAGTCTGCCAACGATCGCCAATCAAAATATAACAACGCTATGTTGTCTCGAAAACCCGATTTGCATACGGTCGGACATCATAATATAGCAATAATAATACGTCAGCCATAAATCTATAATAACCGTATAAACACCTAATAATAAGCCATTTCGTAATAATTTGCAAACAGAATACTAATGAGCTTTCTACGCGGGTTAATTTCCCAGTACGTATTTAAATAATTTTTAGGCACAAGTACCTATATTTTTTTAATAATAAAATATGGGTAACGATTACGCAGGTGTTGCAACCTTATAATTGGTTGGAAAAAACAGTGTCAGTGTCGTGAGATTTTACGCAGATACCCGCCTGCGTTGTATATTATTATAATGTACGGCGTTATGGCGTAGTTGTTCTTTTTATTTATTTTAGCGCAAAACATAGCGTACACTGCCTCTACCTAGCGGTCGCCGTCGTCGTCCGTTATCTTTATAACAATTAAGATTCATTATCGACGTCGTTTTTTTTTTTTTTTTTTTTTTTTTTTAAAAAAAAATTCATTAACTTTTTTATTTTTGATTAGAATTTACACTCGACCTTTCTATTATGACACCTTAATATTATAACAATTATATTAATATTATAATGTATATTGTACACTTGTTTTTCAAGTAAAGGTTGTCCACGAAAGAACGTTTTTTTTTTTTTTTTTAAAAAAAAATTCATTAACTTTTTTATTTTTGATTAGAATTTACACTCGAAAACAAAAACGAACGATACCGTACGAAACTCCAAGTTTTTGAGATGAGAAAACTTTCGGGTACAGTGGTACCGACTCAAAAACAAAGAAATGATACACTTTTAAAAAAAAAAAAAAATCGTTCTTTCGTGGACACCGTGTTCATTATCCAATAGGCTAATCGGGTAAATTCGTCGGTGTTATCACGTCATTTTATCACAATCGTATAGTAAACACACGCACATAAATGCTTTGGTAATTGGCTTTACGCAATCGCGTCTGATATTATCTACATTTTTAATGCCGCTGCTTTTGAAAATTTCTATAGCGGTTTTCTCCGAAACCATGAAAACTCGTTCAAACACGGGAATTACTATGTAAGCATAATTGAAATGATAAAAGTCGGGTTCAATTTCATTGCGTATTTAACTGTGTTGCGGTAGGATGTGGGTGTTTTTTGTTTAGCTTTATACACCCCTAAGGACCTCCGCCACACCACCAACCCCAATTAAGTTAAGGGGATACGAATGTGTGTACACGCACAGCGTTAGTATCAAGGATGTGCATTTTGAGGGCTTGACCTTTCAATTACCACGTGTTATACAATAATTGCTTAATAATGTAATAACAAATGAACAATGGGATAAATAGATATAATATACACGTTCAATAAAGGAACTCTCTTGGTATAGGTATCCAATAAATTTAATTCATAGGAAATTCATGTCGCGGTACCAGAACCGCTTTTGACGCCTGGTAGGGTAGAATATAGTTGAGCTTGAGGCTGGATCCTCGACGAACTGGTTGTAATTGGATTGGAGCTTTGCGATAAAACATTTATAGTCAAGAGTAGTGATTATTTGTCGGTTGAACAGATTTTATGGAAATCTTTGAATCGCACTAGGATACTCAAGCCATTAAGTAAACGCAGATATTTTGGAAGACTTAAACGGTTCTCTTATTAGAGTTTTTAGCAGAATCCCATATTGCACTGTTATACGACCGTTATGGTTTTATATAGTATACGCTTAAGGGATGATGTTTAGTTCGACCGTAGAAGTGATCACAACAAGTGTAATCTGGAATTTATCTTTATGCGTTTGTCCTTAACATTTGGCCAGATTAAACGTCTATCCAATACGCTAACACAATGTTTGACTTCTGACGAGTGATGATGGCGTTGTTAATTGTTACAGGTGGAACGATTGCTAGACCCGGGCGAGAAAGCCTCGAAGAAAAAGACTTGATTCATCGAATTCAATTTTTTAGTTTGCGAACCGTTGGGAAATATTATCCAAGCGAGATTTTACAGGTGATCGAAGGTTCGCAGCGAAATGATCCGCAGATGTCGTCAACAGTACGTAAGTACCGTTTTTCTGATCGAATTTCGTATTTTTTTTTTCTCGTAGTACTATAGAGTTATATTGTAATATTTTATTATAGTAGTTTTCGGCTATTTATCGTTTCGCAAATTTTTAATAGACAAAATAGGCGGGGGCCAATTCCAGACGGAGCTCTGCAATCCACGGGCGTTTTATAAATACAACCGAACGTTATGCATCTGTATGCAATGTCCAAGTACCTATAACGGTTATTAAAAATTTAAATGTTCAAATATACATACGTTAAGTGGGTAAGATACCCGTTTAATATCTTATTGCACAGTGTGCAACGTGTGCAGTATTAGCATATATATTTATTATATAACTGTAATATTATAATCAGCTGCAGTATACACTTTTAATAACGACATGATAACGAATTGCATTATATCGTATAAAGCGCGTACCTGCATGTATCGTTTATTATACTCGTATTGTATACTTACCGCGTTTATTGGGTTATTTTATTTATTTTTTTTAACGTATGGAAAACACGAACAATTCGGTCGTAGACTGTTGAATATATTCCACGTAAATTACATTAAATTTTAAAACTAACATCAATTTTCCATACATATTATGGGCGCCCGGAGGTGGGCAAGACGGGGCATCTGCCTCCCACACCCATGGACTTTAGAATAAAAATTGAATAATTAGATACCCGGTTTATGTAATTTTTCGGTGTTCGATGTTATTATGCCCCTCCCCGGTCATCAAATGGCCCAGGCACGTGGTTCTTGTTCAGAGTTATACGTATACATATAAAAAAAAAAACAAAGTCATTTCACCAAGACGCTGCCCCTCCCTGATACATTTCCAGCGGACGTCCATGCATACGATAATCTACACTGTTATTGTCGCCTGACGGCTAACATTTTCGGTAGGAGGGCGTTAACATTGATCCGCGTCAAACCGAGCGGCGGGGGGGGGGGCTCTGGGGCCCTCACATCCCCCCTCGCGTCCGGTCGTAATGGTTTTATTAATCTCGGTACACGGTTGTGATATGCGCTCGTCGGCTAAAATCAATAACCAATTAAATCGTGTACGCACACACAAGGCTATATCGTTACAAACCAGTAGGTGCACAACGAATTGTGAGTATTGTTTATGATATTAATATACGGTTTTTCGTACTTCCGCGGTAATTTTTTTGGAGGGCGTTCGGCAAATTTTATTCGGAAGGGGGTGGGTGTAAGGCGGGGGGATTTTGATGTATTGGGAAGTGTTCGGTCACAGAAACCGCGGACGCCCGGCACTATAGTAAATATTATAATATTATTATTACTTATTAGCCGTCACAGAGCAGCAACCTTCGAATATTTTCCCGATACATTTCGTATCGTATATTAAATTGTGATTTGTGGGAACAAATCGGTTACGAAAACCCGAACGTTTCGTGCTCGTCGCTCTGCCCGGTCAATTTATTTACCAAGGTCTCGGCCGAAGAAATTTGTCTGCGCTGTAGTGCATTATAGACGGACAATTTTTCGGTTTATCCGGCGCTCGGACCGTACCGCGCGCGGATACCTCATTATGTTTGATTGTTGGGGGAAGGAAGGGGGGAGGGCTAGGTCGATTTTTTTTCTTTCTGTTCGGTAAAAACACATAAAACACAGTTCGACCGTATTCTGTGTTTCGCTAGGATGGTTTTTTTTGTTTTATTTTCAATTTCAAGATGCGATATTTTAACAAACGTACACATCGCGGTTCAGCCGCACGACTCGTGTACTCGGCGAGCGCATGCACTTGCAACGTTCGTGCACAACCACGACGTTACGACGGTCCTGCGCGACCCGCGCGCTCGCCGTGCGTTTTCGGGGGAATCTGAAAATGTCAAAATACCGATTTCCTATCACGGGAATACTTGCGCGCCTTGAATACATTCCGCACCACTCGCGAAGTGTCGACGAATACCGGCCGGGTACGCGAATCGTGCGGCACCGGCCACGGGTCAGGTCGGGGGGGGGCGGTCGATGAGAGGCCGGGACCCCCGGCGGCAGATACGGTGCCGCGTCCCGCGCAACGTCGGCTGTAACGCATCGTTCGACCCGGCCGCAACTAATTTTCCGTTGCGGCCGTCGTCCTTTGAAGAATCGTCGTCGTCGTCGTCGTCGTCGTCGTTATTGTTGTTGTTAAACTCGGTGGCGGCGGTCAGGAATCCGACCGCGGCCGCCGCCGTACGCCGGGCTCTCGCGCGGTCGGCCCCCGGGGCAACAACATGGGTCCGCGGTCACTCTCGGCTCCCCCTCCGTCACCCCCCGGGCCGACGGTTTGCCCCACCGACGCGGCGGCGGCACGACCGCGTAGGAGTGTCCGAACGCGCGCGAGCGAGCGAGACGGCCGCGTTACCGGCACGCCGTCCGACGGAGACGGCGGCCGCCATCGCGCGCACACGCGTACACGCGCGCGCGCTCGGCGGACGACGCGGCCGCCACCGCCGGAGCGGCAGCGGCGATACGGCAACAGCAGCGCCGCCGCCGCCGCCGCCGAGTACGCGGTACGACGGCGGGCGAAGGAGGCGGCGGCGGCGGCGGTGGCTATTGCTCAGGTGCCGACGGGGTGGGAGTCGGCTGAGAACAGCGTTTACACACACACACACACGCGCGCGCGCACAACATACGCACGTACGCACACACACGCGCGGGCGGCGCGCACATTCGTACATACCTTTACGTCGTGTTCTCAGACGTATACACACACACACACACGCGCGCGCGCGCGCGCGTGCACGAGAACTCGCGCACACGCGCACACATACAATACGCCGTGTACACACTGTACACACGGCACGACCGTGTCTGTGTGTGCGTGCGTATACGTATGTGCGCGCGATTCCTAAATAAGAAATCCGACCAGTGCCATACGGACGTAGAATGCACCACACGTATTCGGCCGCCGTTGCCCGTTTGCTCTCCGTGGTTACCGTGTAAACAACGAAAACCGATTTTCTGTATACGATCATCAAGGAGATAATATTGTACGCATACAGGTGCACACGCCAACACGCGCTGCGCTACCAGAGACCCGAGATTCTCCGTCGTCACATAAACGTGCAATATTTTCTCCATAATTTTGTCGTCGTATATTTCGTTTCGAGCGAAAAAAAACCGTACAGTGATCCCGAGTGCGCGTCGTATTGTGTATTCCGTCGTCGTCGTCGCCGTCGTCCAGTCCGGAAAAACAAAACGGATTATACACGCGTCCGACCCGAGGTAAGAAACGGCCGTGCAGTATCATTACGATATTGTCGGTACAGGGCAACGATTTCCGTATTGCCGATAATCAATAATGTAATTAATATAATAATGTTGTATCGCGATCACTTCGACTGCACGCGTAATGTAAACGGGTGTTGTAGTCGTGTAACAATAGCGGAAACAAGAAAATACATATTAACAAAACACCCGGAGACTTTGACGACCGCACCGACCGACGGCGAAATAACTAATAACCGCGCGCGAATGAAACGGGGGCGAAGAAAAACCCGACGATGATAACCGCGACCGATAGCCGAGCGCGAACACCGTGCGGCACGCGTGCCCGGCGCCGTTGCGCGACTTATTAATTGAAAACGACGCGCTTCAACCGCGGCGGCGAATGACGACTGGCGGACGGTGCCCGTGGCCACCGGACGAATCGGACGGATAAAAAAAAAAAAAACCTGTTGTTTCCGCGCGCGGAGGCCGGCCCTGCGCGATAACGGGCGGCGTGGCGTACACGAAAAACTGGTTATGCGACGGCCGGTCGTCGCGTTCGCGAGCGTTCGGCGGCGGCCTTTTGTGCGAAGGGGTCGCGCGTGCCGGAAAATCGGGACCGGATCCGGAACCCGGACGCCGTCGTTTCGGCGGTAGCGGGCGCCGCCGCCGTTCCGTTTTTTTCGTCGTGCTATTGTGCGGGGCTGCGGCGGCGGTGGGGGTGCGGTCGGCCAACGGTCAGCGCGCCGCCGCCGCCGTCGCGCACCTGTTGCGCACGCGGGGGCTGTTGTCCACTCGGTTATTTTCTCGTTCTCCCCGCTCGCGCGTTGCATAATAACCTGTTGCGTAACACGTCGACCGGCACACACACACACACACGCACGCACGCACGCACGCGCGTTTTTACCATTTTTTTTTTTCTTTCCCGTACGACGTCCGTCGTTACGACCGGCCCCGGGGCGCCCGCACGTCGCGGGTAATTTTTACGCGTTTACCGTGATTCCGGCCGGCGTTTCGTCGCTGCTGTCGGCCGTACGTCGGCAATATTGACGCGTCCGTTTCGGTTTTCGAGGCGGCGGGCTCCGGCGCGGTTTTCCCCCTCGGCGGCCTTCGACGGCGTTTTCGGCGTTCCGGTCCGCGTTCACGACGGCGGAAAACCGAACGGATCTCGAGACGGCGTTATCGCGACGCGGGCCCGACGGCTTCGGCCCCGAAAGCGTCGGCGCCCGCGGCCCTCCGAAAACCCGAGCGTTTACGGTCGGTCGTTCCGTGTCGGGTCCGTCCGAAACGCGTGCCGCCGACGGCCGCGCGCGCGTGCGCCCGGACCCCATTGTTCGTTGGCTCCACTGGTGCTGGAGCCCAAGACGCTTCCGACACCGCCGGCGATGACCTTGGGGTGTGTATGTATCGTGCGGCGCAGACGTCGCCGTCGCACGACGCGCGCCGCCGACAATGCAAACAACACAACAA